ATCTAAAAATTATATTAAATTTTAATTAATTTAAAATAAAATTAAATCGAACCTATATAAAAAAAACTTTCTTGTTGTTTATTGTTTTATTTATAAAATTTAAATTTAAAATTTTATTTAAAAAATTACATTTTTTTTCACTTAAATCAATAATAAAAAAAAAAAAACGTTGTTTCTACTCTGTTACATAAAATAAAATAAAATAAATGATGGCTACATCGGGGAGAGAACTAAAAAAGGAGAAAAAAAAATGGAAAGAGTCTGGTCTACAGGTGAAAAAGGACCGAATAGAGTACAAAATTTCGGTGCTGACCAGACCACTAGAGGGTGAAGAATCGGAGAAGTTGGGGGACAAGGCAGATGGGAGAGATTTTTACCCTTAAAAAGGGAGATTGATTGCAGATGCTCGCAGGGTTGGAAAGAGACGAGATCCTAGGAAAGGGAGAAAAGCAGCTGCAGTGAGAAATTAACAGAAAAAGAATCGGAATTGAGAGTAAGAGAGCAAAGATTAAGGCTGTTGAGAATTGTTAGCAGAGTCGAAAATTTTGGCTGTTGAGAATTGTTAGCAGAGTCGAAAATTTTGGCTGTTGAGGTACTTGTTTTCCTGTAATAGTTTGAGCCCTTCTTTGGTTCCTTATTCTTGAATTACCTTCATTTTGGCTTCGTGTTCATGAATAATTTAGATGATTTATGATTGTTCTTTCTTGGGTAATGGAATCTCTTTCTAGAGATTGTAATGGAATCACTTCCTGGTTGTATGAATTAGTCATGCACTTTAAAAATTTGTTGTTTCAAGGAATCAATCATATGTGTATTGACACAAGTTGCTGACTTGACTTCTACTTGTTTTTCATTCTTGGTAACTATTTTCCTGGGATCAAGTTAAGATGCGTGCGCCATCGCTTCTTGCACAATGTTTGCCGGGCTTGGTGACCCATGATCGTGGAAGTCAAAGCATCTCTACCATATCTGAGAAAGAAGTCCATCTTCCTTCACTAGCTGTTGAGATTATCCCCTCAAAGGTGAATTTCATCTTTTACTCAGACTTGTCTTGAATTTCCAATTCAAAGAAACAATTTGTTGATTTGGATGCAAGTTTTTTGAGTTTTCCTTTGTTTAAGACATTTCTTATTGTTTATACTCTGCAGTCAGCTTACCCTTATAAGTATGTTGGGGATAATGTCGACTTTCACGGGCTTAACGTGTTCAAGGTATTTTTGATAGAGAAGATTATCTTGATTGCCTTTTCCTTTGTTCCCGTTGTCATATGTGAGATTCTGTATGTTGTAATTAGAGTAAAACAGCATAAATCCCCACCTCAGCCCACTACCTGTCTTCACTGTTCACCTAAAGAAAACAATATTTGTGTACGTGTGCTTCTGTAGTTGTTTTTACATGTCAAATACAATATCTCTTTCCAGCTCTACCAATATGATTTCTTCATTCTTTTCCTATCCTCCTACAGGGAAGAGTTAGTGTTGTGGATATTATTGGTTTTACTGGTTCTGAAATGATATCATCGAAACCGGATGGTGGGTACTTCTGTCATGTAACTGTTAGAGAAATAAATAGCTATTTATTCTTCTCAGTAAAATGTTTGAAACGTTCAAATTGATTGATCAGCTATAAACAACTTGTTTGGCAGGTCATCTCAAATCTTGGGACAGCTCTATTGATCTTGTTAATGTCCTTAAACATGAGATTCGTGATGGACAGTTGAGTTTTAGAGGCAAGAGGGTACTTGAGGTAATTTATTATGGAAAAAGTTAAGTTCTTGAACATAAGCCATTTTGGTACATTACAATTATTCTCTGGGGCCTTGCTGCAAGTTCAATTTCTCAAAGAACCTACTTCTTTTTCCTTTTTCTTTTTTTCCTTTTTCTTTTTGACTTTTTGTTTCCAACTATTAACTACAACATATTTGATATAAAAAGTATTCATCCTTTCTTGACACACAACTTGTAAATGCATTATATGGTATTATTAAATAGGTAAATTTTAATTGTTTCTTTATCAAATGTACTGACTTGAAGGAATTGGGTTTGCTGTTATTTTCTGCTTGAACTCATTTTGCAATGTCTTACTTGTGATCTGGCTTGAGTTAGTATAAATAGTATCCAATAATTGCAGATCAAAAAAACAAAAAAATCCAATAAAATAGGTGCTTATTCGACCTTGCTTTTGTCTTAAATTCAATATAGCATTGATTAAGACAGTCAACATTGCTGACATTCAATAAGTTCTTTCCTTGATATATTTTTTTCATCAACTTTAAACTTGGTTACTTCTATTTTTTGAGAGCTCTTAATGATGTAAGCTAACTAGGTTTCTGCTCTTCTGTTCTCTTTCATTTTAGGAAAATTTGTTCAAGAGTAGCATAATGGATTTAGTTTCTCTTTAATTGATTCCATACCGTATGCAATCTGAGATTCTGAGTTAATCATCCTACTGCTTGTTATTGCAGCTGGGTTGTAGCTATGGACTTCCAGGCATTTTTGCTTGCCTGAAGGTATGTTTTCCCTTATTAACCCTGACTTCCAATCTCTCCCTATATGTGACACATGACCAGTCTTAGTTATGCTTTTGAATATTTCCTGTTTTCAGCTTCTTTTTTGTCATGATTAAATGCATTTTTAAAAGCATCATGATCAGAAGTAAATTGTATTGTGTTTTAAGTAGAGGCAGCCTTTTTTGAGAGATGCATGGACACATTTGGGATTTGGGAGGCCTTTTTATCATTTTTATTTTCATGCCAGAAGATGCTTGACAATAATTTATATGGAAGATATACTTTTTTTTGGCCTGCAAGAAATTTAGTGTTTATCTAATTCAATTTTCTACAGGGGGCTTCTACAGTTCACTTCCAAGACCTCAATGCTGAAACTATACGATGCACTACCATACCCAATGTTCTTGCCAATCTAGAGCTAGCTCGGGAAAGGCAGAGCCGACAGCTAGAGAGTCCACTTACTCCTTCCAGACAAACTTTGGCCCCAACAGTGCACTTCTATGCAGGGGATTATGAAGAACTCCCCACAGTCTTATCTGTAGTCAGGAATGACGTGTCTGAAGTGACAACAGGGATAAGCTTGAGCTTTTCTGAGGAAGATTTCATGGATGGGTATAGTAGCCAAGATGGAAGTGCCATGGCACAAGAATTTCCCTCAAGAAGGTCAAGAAAGCTTTCTGGAAGCCGGGCATGGGAAAGAGCTAGTGAGACAGACCAAGGAGAGGGTGGTTATGATGTTATTTTGATGACAGAGATTCCATTCTCCGTTTCCTCTTTGAAGAAGCTATATGCACTAATTAAAAAGGTATGTTTCTTGATTTTATGACACTCCTTGATGTTTCTCGTAATCAAGGTTATCTGAAATATTAAGGAGACATATGCCGTATTAAAGAGTAGAGTAGAGCTGCTAAACGATTCAGTCATTTGATTTATGCCAATAATTGTTATGAACAACCTGAGGGACAACTTTGAAAAGATTATAGAACGATGGAAGTGGCATCAGTATATGAACAAGGACAAACCCATGATCTTCTGAACTTCCATTTTTCTCTTATGTTGGAGCATTATCAATATTGAATTTTAATCCCCCCCTCTTACTCCATCTTCATTCATTCCTTTCTCTCCATCTTGTATACCAGTGCTTGAGGCCTCCATACGGAGTAGCATACTTGGCGACAAAGAAGAATTATGTTGGCTTCAATAGTGCAGCAAGACACCTGAGAAGTCTTGTTGATGAAGAAGGCATTTTTGGAGCTCATTTAGTTAAGGAGATGACCGACAGAGATGTTTGGAAGTTCTTTCTCAAGTGAACCAAAGTTCAGTTTCCAGGAAGTGGCTGCTAAACTGGTTACTTTTCTATTTGTATAAATTCAGATCACATATTGTTCGTATTCTTTGTTAGTAAAGATCAAACTGGAATGGTAAAGAATTAGTAAAACTAATTATTACTGTCATCAGTGTCATTCTTTTCCCCCCTGATTTTTTTCTAACTTTAACTGTATATCAAACATTCATTAAATTGAGATGCTGAAAATAATTTTTTTCATAGGAACCCCTCTTTCTTTTTTTTCTTTTTTTTTTTGGGTAATATTCTTCTTGGTTCAGATCATAGGAGTGTGTAAACATATAATTGTAATACATCAAACATTCATTAAATTGTATGCCAAACATTAAATTAATCCAATTCCTGTTGCTACTGTCATTTTTCTTTTTCTTTATTTTTTTCCCCTAAAATTTGAAAAAAATATAATTAATTTAAGATAAATATTAAATTAAAAATTTATTATTATTCTAGTACAGACGGATTATATTAAAATATTCATTAAATTGTGTGTCAAACATTAAATTCTTCTTCCTTTTGTTTTTTGTGCCTTGTCTTTTGAAGTCATGTTCTTCTTTGTGGTAAATATTATTTAGTGCTAGTATTTTTCATCTACAATTTTTTGTGGCTATTAATAGATCTAAAAAAAAAAAAGGAAAAAGAAAAAAACCTGGATAAAATTTCCATCCGCTCATTTGAAACCTCCTCCTACACAAAAAGAAAGGAAAACATGCTGCCAAAACCAAAATGGCTTACACTCCAAATTCAGTTTTACGTTTCGGAATACTGGGAAGTCCCAACTTAAGAAAAGTTATCAGAGCTATAGACTTAGCTCCCAATTCAACTCTTCACGCGGTCGCCGGAGAACCCTTCGACGGGTTGCAGGATACCGTCAAGATTTATGGGAGCTACGATGAGGTCCTGGATAACCCAGACGTAGATGTTGTTTACGTTGCCAGTGTACGACAGCAATGGGCTGTGCTGGCCGCTCAAAAGAAGAAGCATGTCCTGATGGAGACACCTACGGCTCTTGATGTGGGTGGATGGATAGGATGCTGGAAGCCCGTGAATCCAACAGTGTCCAGTTCATGGACCCCTCCTCCACATGGCTGTACCACTCTAGAACGACAACAATGAAGCAGAAGCTTTTGGATTCTAAGTGCTTAAGACATATTTATCATGTAAGTGCTTTTTAAAATTCTTTTGTTTGCCAATTTACATGCAGCTTAAGACTAATTTTCTTGTGCAATTTTAAGGGCATAAATTTACATTTCAGCGGAGTTAATATTTTTCTGATGAATTAGTAGAGTTAATATTAATATGCTTTTTAGTTTGGTTTTGATTTGGTAGATGTACAGCACAATGACTACATTAGCGTCGGACATAAGAATAAACCAAGACATGGATGCCCTTGGACCAATTGCTGAAATGGTTTGGATCTACCTGGGGGCCGTCTTGTGGGTACAAAAGTACAAGCTACCCAGCTCAATAATTGCTCTACCTGGTCCAACCAAAAGCTTGAATGGAATCCTATTGTCCCGCACATCCTCCATTCATTACAATCAGCCTGAATGGACCTCTGCGAGTACTCATTGCTTTTCTTTTTTTTTTTTTGTTAATCTCTCGGTGTTTGGTAATTACATTAGATTTCGATTAATTCAGAATCGAATCACGTTGAATCTCATTTGGAGAAGTTCTCTCAACACTTGTTTCTTCATTCATGAAACTCGAACTCAAAATGTTACTTAAGAAAATTGAACTCCTTTCATTTGTATTAACAGATTGTTGGTTTCATTACTCTCTTTTCTCAAGTACATCCATGGACTTAGAGATCACTGATACGGAAGGATTGCTGTGCCTCCAGGACTTGATGATTCCACCTAAGGAGACGTCTGCTACCTTTGCGGTAACACTGGGTGCAAAACTTACAGAACTTCATCTGGGGTGGACTGTTAAGCCTGAAAAAGTTGTGGTTGATTGCAAAATGCCGCAGGAGGCTCTGATGGTAGAAGAGTTTGCATCACTAGTGGAGGGTATTAAGAGACGTGGTTGCCACTTGCCAGCCTGATTGCAAGTGGCTGGAGATTAGCAGAAAGACGCAGGCGGTGTTTGGTGCACTCAACAAGTCTATTAACCTGGGTTGCAAACCTGTCTATTTATAATCACCACAGCTGTATCAAATTAAGCAAATCCGTCTCCCTTGACATAAAAAATGGAATGTGTAGTACAATTTCCTCACATGCATTGCAATCTCAATAGGTCTCTTTACCTACCAAACCAAAACCTCTTTATGTTTCTCTCTTGCACTTCTAAGTTACAACAACAGGCAACAGCTATTCCCATTTCCCACCATTTTACATTGCAATCTCCTAACTAGCTACTTTACCCTCAAACCACAACCGATGGCTTACACCTCAATCGGAAAAGTAACAATAAGGAAGGGTTTTTCTTATAAAACAAACACTATGTTTCAAATTGCTTGCCTTCAAAACTCTGCCCAAAGTTCCAATTTTTAGGAGCAACACTGTAAGAAGTAACTGTCAGCCCATCACTACAGGTGACCTCAAACGAAAGAGGTTGATTCCTTAAATCAGCATTGATATGCCAGTTCTGCCCCCAATTTCGACCCATTGACAGCCAGCCAGTTGTTGAACCCTTGATCTTCACAGCCACTATATCTCCAGCACCAGCAACATTGCTTATAAGAACAGAAATGAAAATGCCCGAACCACCAATTGTAAATCGTATACCTCCTTCCTTTCTGCACCTTATTCTGTTAAAGAGAAAAGGTAATATCTGACTTCTCAATAATGTCAATTGATACACTACCAGATCTCACACGAAGACAATTAAACCTAGTTGGAACTTATGTCAAAAGTTAATTTAACAAACCAAACTACAAATCAATATAAACTTCTAGAATCCACTCTGCCTCTATCCATGTAACCAGCATTGCAGTAATGGTAGGCACACCTTACCATAAGCATATCAATTTCTTCACAAGTACGCAAAGAGGAAATTTTCTTGCTTTCTTATGACCCATGTAAGAATTAAGAACAGAGAAAATCTACTACAATCCACTCAGCATCTATACCATTTGCAATCTCTATATCAGGATTCACCAACGTAATAGAATTCAACATAAAAAATTAAATAAAAATACAATAATTAAAATGCAAGAAGAGGCAATGTTAGAAATGAATATAAGCAGAGATCAGAGAGCAAAGAAAATTATAAACACTGAAATCAATTAAATTCAGAAGGGAAAGAATCGAACCTTCGATACTGGACAGGCATATTGCCGGCTTTCCAAATAGCGATCTTCTCAAATGCCTCGATGGGAAGCACAAAATGCTTGTTCGGAGGGTTACAGTGACCTCCACCGTCAGGGGTAAAACCGTAATTTGGAGCACAGAAGTTAGTGGCGGTGACAATGATGGATGTCCCAGGAATGCACCAGCGGAGGTCATCGACGCATCGGAGCTCGAAGCAGGCACCGCAGATCTGCCCTCGCTCGAAGAAAATTTCGCTCAAACCAACAGTGGCCATGCCATAGCCTGCCTTCACGAGGTCCCCGTATCCACACGCACCGCCGACAGAGTCACGGGGATCCGCGGCGGCATAGTAGGTGGCGCGTGCTGGTAGCCAGTCGGAGGACAGTGGAGAAGAAGAGGGTGAAGAGGAAGAAGAAAGGGTATGGGAGGTAGCTGTTGAGGCTAGTATAACAAGTACAAGTGTGAATAGAGTTCGGGGTATCGCAGTCTTCTTCCTCATTTCTCTCTCAGAGCCGAAGCTGAACAGTGTGGGATGCAGACTGACGAGGAAAACTCTGCCCTGTCTTTCTCAAGTGTACATTGTCAGCTGGAGTACATAAAAAGATGGGTCCTGTTCATGTTGTGGTAACTTATATTAACCTAGTGGTTGAAATAAAAAATTTTAAGTTATATTAATAAATAAATAAAATAAAATAAAAAGGTGAAATTTTTTTATTATATAATTAAGATAGAAATTAAAGATGATTCTGTTTTAGGTTTTTGATAGAATAAAACAAAAATATGAAAATTAATACATTCTGACATTCAAGACATAATTATAATTATTTGTTGAATGGATTTTACTTTTGGATTCATTTAGTAGTTGATTATGATAAACACCTTAATTTACTAAATTCATAGGATAAAATGTCAAATTAAATCTATTAAATAAAAAAATAATTCCAATATGAAAGAGGTTGGTATCCACCTATCAATAAATGTTACTAAGATTTAAAAAAAATTAATGTGGCTATTAATTATGCATCAACTTTTTGAAAAGGTTTAATTACTTCACATAAAAGATAAAAATGAAAAGAAAAAATGTTTAAATACTTTATTACAATTTTACCTTTATATACTCAAATTTCGCTTGAAAATAATTTTCGGTAATTTAATTTTTAATTGTTATATTTTTTATTATTTTAAAATATATAAAATATTA